TTAACTTAGCAAATACAAATTTTATTTAGCAAAAATCAACTTAGCATATATATTTTTTAACTTAGCACTGAAATAGGTGCCCTTATTATATTTCATTTATTTTCTTTTTATTTATTTATTTTTGTTTAAATAGATTTTAGTTTAAATGAAACAACAGCAAATGAAGAGGATAATAAACAGATAACAATTGTTGGTCCAATAACAATTTTACCTCGAATTTCTAATCAATAAATCATCATTGACTTCGATAAAGCTCAACGTAAATCGTGTTCTTTTATTCGTTTGTTTTTTTCTTTGTATAGATGATTTATATCATCAAATCAAAATTCGTTTTTTTTTCTTTCAACAAAAAAAAATTTATTCACAAATTTCTTTTTTGGTTTAATTTAGGAAGGTGACGATCAACCTCGATCATCTGTTATAGATAATTCTTTTTCACTTCCACTTTCACAATCATCAACTAAAGTTTTATCTTCATTAGCACTTGGAAATTCCGATAGATCTTGTGCAATAATTAAAACAAATGATTCAGTAAATTATTCATTGAAATGAAATAATAATTTGGTTTTTTTCTAATCATCTTTAGAATAAGCCAACTTCTGCAACGAACAATAAACAAGTAGATTCATTTTTTTTTTTTGGTTAATGTATTTATAATAAATAAATATGAAATTTTTGATAGAATGTATCAAATTCAAGACGATCAGGTCTTCAATGTGCCAATTGTCAAACACAAACTACAACTTTATGGAGACGAAATAATGATGGTGATCCTGTTTGTAATGCATGTGGTTTATATTATAAACTTCATCATGTAAGAAAAAAAGTAGAAAGAAATTTGATAATCATTCAAATAACAAATATAGATTTAATGAGTCTATCCTTATTTTTATGATCAAAATCGAGATCAAAAATTTAATTAGAGTTTTCTTACTTTGTCATGGTCTGAGATGGTACTGATATACATCAAATAAGACTATCTGAAGATACAAATACTCTGGATTTCAGACTGATCGATCTGTCAGTAGAAAGGCTGGTCCAACCTATTCAGATCGATTACATTTTTGGCCTTATGAGGAAATCACCGGAACTGATATCCGTTGTTTGATCTCATATTGAGCTCACAAGGAAGTCTCAGTA